TTAAAAAAAAATTACCAATGGGCTAAATATAGTTATGTTTTAGTAACGGTCAGAGCGCTTTGTGTACATTTGTTCATTTAATTCTGCTAACAATTCTGTGTGGTAGGTACTCACAGTTCCATTTCTCAGACAAGGCCACCTGAGACATGATAAGCGATACAGTCCCTTCTTGCATTGAGTTACGCCTTAGGAGCACGCTCCGGAGCAAGATACGGAAGACTGAAGGAGATGTGGCGACAGAACCAAGCAGGGCAAGGCAAGCAAACTGAAAGCGAGAATGGAGTAAAGAAAAGTGCCTCATTTATGGAGTGGTCTGCTCCAACTTTCAAATCTCCGCAGCCGGCCCGCCAAGGCTTCACAAAGCCCGCCCCTCAGTCACAAAACCCGCCCCTCGGTCACAAAGCCACGCCCCATTCTTCGGCTTTCCTCTGAGCTCCCAATACTTCCCTCCTTCTCTTTGGCCCCTCCCACTCCGCTCCGCATCATTTCCTGTGCGCTGGATGCTAATTGGCCTAGCGGTCGGAAGTGAGGGCGGGCGGTGGGGCCGTTGCCGCAGTGACAGTGCTGGGGGAGTCCGAAGATGGCGGCGTCGCGTCGCTCTCAGCATCATCACCACCATCATCAACAACAGCTCCAGCCCGCCCCAGGGGCTTCGGCGCCGCCGCCGCCACCTCCACCCCCACTCAGCCCTGGCCTGGCCCCGGGGACCACACCAGCCTCCCCAACGGCAGGTGGCCTGGCCCCCTTCGCCTCCCCGCGGCACGGCCTAGCGCTGCCAGAGGGGGATGGCAGTCGGGATCCGCCCGACAGGCCTCGATCCCCGGAGCCGGTTGACACTACCAGCTGTTGCAGTACCACCAGCACAATCTGTACGGCCGCCGCCGCTCCCGTGGCCCCGGCGGTTTCCGCTTCATCTGCCGTCGGGGTCGCTCCCAACCCAGCCGGCGGTGGCAGTAACAATTCACCGTCGTCCTCTTCTTCCCCGACTTCTTCCTCATCTTCCTCTCCATCCTCCCCTGGATCGAGCTTGGCGGAGAGCCCCGAGGCGGCAGGAGTTAGCACCACAGCAACATTGGGGCCTGGGGCAGCGGGACCTGGGCCAGGGGTCCCAGCAGTAAGCGGGGCCTTACGGGAACTGTTGGAGGCCTGTCGCAATGGGGACGTGTCCCGGGTAAAGAGGCTGGTGGACGCGGCAAACGTGAATGCTAAGGACATGGCCGGCCGGAAGTCTTCTCCCCTGCACTTCGCTGCAGGTCAGAGACTTTTGTTTATTAAAGGTTTGGTCTTGGGGACAGGGGTCTGGGTAGGGATGGAAAACAAGTTATGATAGAATAAAGTGGGGGCGTTGTTATGGTTCTTCAACACCTCACCGGAAGTCTAGAGGTTCCTTTCTTTAGGATAGTGCCTGGGTGACGGGGGCGTGGTGGGGGAATGTGTGAATTCATTCTTTTTTAGCGTTCGCATAGTGATACTTGTACCCGTTTCCAAACTCCCTTAGAGATCGTCTCCAGATATGGGTATACTTAAACTTTTTCGGTTACGAGTGTGAAGGAATAAAGTTAGATTTGGGCAGTCTTAAGAGTTTTGTCGTTTGTTTACTAGTTTATTTCGTTTTTACATCACGGGTATGTTCCATGAGGATAGTCTAGACCAAAAGAAGTTTAATGTAACTCAACAAGTGTTTAAGGATCTATGGTACTCTTAGTAAGCCAATGAAAGACATAAATGAAGTATGTGAAACTTTCCCCCTTTCTCAAGGAGTTTACAGCCTAATTGGGTAGATTCAAATATGCCTATATGAAACAACTGGAGAAGAATGTTTGGATGCATATGTGATGGTAGAAGAAATAAAGGGTTTAAAGTCCTGGACACTCCTATTTGTTACTTGTCTGATAGACAGTTTACCTTATCTCAGTTGCCTCGGTTTTCTCGTGGACAAAAATGATATACTAAGTTTGTGTGAAGATTTAGTGAGAAGCATCTGGCACATTAGTTTTCCAAAAAAACCTGCTAGTTCCTAAACTCTGGACCACACACTTTTTGTGTGTGTGTGTTTTTTTTTTTTAAATCAAGTAATTGACCATTGTCTTTTAAAAATACCTAGTATATTTTTATAAAATACAGATAAGTATTTAAAAAAGGACCATAATCTCACTGCCCAGATATCTACTATTGATATTCTAAAATATAAAGAGAATAATGTTATATACACTAGAAACATTAAAAATGTGTATGCTCTATATACATTATAAAATTCATATAGGATAGAAATGTACAAAATGAAAAAGCAGACACACACACACACACACACACACACACACACACACACACATCAAAGATAACACACCGAAGATACCTCCTGTTAAGGTTCTTGCTATGTTGGCAATACATATCACTTTTTCAGTTTGTTCTATTTATGGTAAAAGATATGTTAGGAACTATGTGTATTATATATTTTTTACCCCAACTTGAAAGATATTATTACCCTCATTTTATAGATGACAGACATGAAGCACTTATTATTAAAATAAGTTCAAATTCACACAGAGAATCATGGAACCTGGATTTGAACTGTTTGATTTTAGAGTTTGTGAAATCAAGCTAAAACTATTAAAACCAATACCTGGGTTAAGGTCACTTTTCACTTTGTGAGTGTGTGTGATGGAAAGTTTCTGCTTTTGCACTGTTTTGGGGGAAGAAGTAACTGGGGCATAAACTCTAAGAGTAGCATTCACACATTTTTTTTTTATTGCAGTCTATACTTAGAAATATATTTTACATTGCTTCACACATGTAGAAACTGAATCAAAAGTTTTAGGAAATAATACTTTCCTTTATTACATGTGTTGTCTTCTTATGTTTTATATCCTATTCCATTTCATTTTTAACAAATGTTGTTTGTGGTTTGTTAATGGGTCATGGTCAGCAATATGAGAAACAGGAAATCATTATTAGATTACTGGATCCATTTTTGATGTATAGACACTATAGATAGTATAGATACTATTAGGTATTTAGTGAATTGAATCATAAACAGGCCCATATAGTAGATATTTGCTCAAGGGTGTTGCTTATTTTAGATGAAATAGCATTTATTTTTCTTTAGGTCAAATGAAAGCTCTGAGTCTGATATAAGTCAACTGAAGTTTGCTTTTGCATACATTGTTCCAAACTTGACTAGTTCAGCGCATATCACAAATCTTGTCATTCCTCACTGTACCACATTATAAGTAATTGTTAACAGAGGATAGTTATGTGTATATCTGTGATAATGTACTTATTTAGGATCAGTCACACATGAAACAGTGCTTGGCTTCTAAATCAACTTCTGTGTGCTACAATAGTTACTTTTTATTCTGTTTTAGAGTTTTATGTGTACCCAATAAGTTACAAGACAATAACACACAGGCCTGTAATTATGTTGTAATTATGAGAACCTGACTTTTAACTGTTTTTTTAAGAAAAATTTTTTAGTTTCGTTGTGGAAAACAGATAAACACAGTAAAACTACGTGGTATAAAAACATAACACTCCGCAGTTTATCATACTTCCATATTTGTGTGCATTGCGTAGTGTTGGATGAGTGGTTAAGAGTAATTCTCAGTTGATTCTTGGTTAGAATGCTAGTAATGGGATTGTCATAGAAAAACTGTTTTAAAGAGGAAATTGGAACAATCCCTTGGGTGGAGAAGTTTAAAAACCGTAATTCATTTGTTCCACAAATGTTTTGTTACTTGTCATAGGTCAGGTGTTAAATACCAACACAATTTTGATGTGGTAGGTAGGGCTATCTAAGCCCTTACGGAGCTTACAGTCTAATAGGGAAGACTAAACAAGAACAGCAGTAATAACAAAACCCCATAAAGTGTGTAACCTGGAGTTATCGGAATATACTTTAGTGGAGGAGGCAGTAGGGTTTCCTGTCCTGGTTTTACAGCATTTAAGGAAGTCTTTTTAGACAGACAGGGATTTAAAGGATGGGTCCAATCTAGCCAAGCAAAGATTGGAAAGGAAGAGTGTTAATTAATGCCTTTGTTTCCATTGAGAAGTGAGTCTACAGTTCTATAGAATGAAATGAAACCATTTTCAAGATCTCAAGTGGTATGAAGTCATATTTAAATCCTTATAACTTTTATTATTATTTTTTTAACGTTTATTTATTTTTGAGACAGAGAGAGACAGAGCATGAATGGGGGAGGGTCAGAGAGAGAGGGAGAGGAGACACAGACTCTGAAACAGGCTCCAGGCTCTGAGCGGTCAGCACAGAGCCCGACACGGGGCTCGAACTCACAGGCCGCGAGATCGTGACCTGAGCCGAAGTCGGCCGCTTAACCGACTGAGCCACCCAGGCGCCCCATAACTTTTATTATTAAAAAAAAAACTTATTTATTTATTTTGAGAGAGGGAGGAGAGGAACAAAAAGGGAGAGAGAGAATCCCAAGCAGACTCTGCAGTTAGTGCAGAGCCCCACACAGGGCTCAAGCCCATGAAACGTGAAATCATGACCTGAACTGAAACCAAAATATTTTTAAAAGTTATAAGGATTTAGGGGTGCCTTGGTAGCTTAACCCATGGAGTCACTGAGGCACCCCTAAATCCTTATAACTTTTAAAAATGTTATCATAATTCTTTCCAGATGCAGAATTAAACATTTTTTTCTATCCCATTTTGGACCGTGATAATTATTTATTTAAAATATGGCTTAGACACAATAATGGAATCACTCTGTCCATAATTAGAAACATAATCTCCAGTTTCCATTGTTTATGTAGATTCTCAAAATACTATTTCTAATGCCTATGGCCATATCAAAAGGACTTGGTCTTTTCATTGTTGACTAGAGTTTATATAAGACTTTCTCCTACAGATAAGATCCTTGACCCTGATTTTCTGTTATTTAAAGGACAGCAGGCAAAGCTATATAAATAGTATCAATTTGGAGTGTTCAGTTCAGTTCCTAGTGACATATTTTTATTACAAGGACCAGTATGTTCTCATGTGATCTCTTTTAAAGAAAAGTTTAGATGGGTTTAAAAAAAAAAAAACAAAAAACTTGAATGAAGCATTGAATTCTGAGATTTCGTAGTATTTAAATTGATAAACTTTTGAAATAGGCTTCCCAAGTAGTTAATTAACCTAAGATTAGGATATGTAATACGAGGCACTTCAGTATCAAATCCAGCAAATTATGTATGGCAGTTTTATGCTTTCTTTTGACTTTGATGGTACAAATGAAGTTCCTACACCTGAAAAAAAGACACATAAAAAACATCACGTTTTCTGAGCTGTTGCCCATCAATGGCTAAGAAAATGAGTCGGCACCCTTCAATCCTGGAGTGGGAATCTTGTTTAACATTGTTAACATTGTTTGGTAAACTCCTTGATTATACTTTCAAGCAAATGCCCTGCCTCAGAGTTTAAGAAGGATCTAATTTTAAAAGGAACTAGCTTCATAAATGTCTTTCCATTTTATCTTTTATTTAGTGTTTTCTTAAAATCTTATGCTTTAAGGTACCATTTAAAAAAAAAGTTACATTGAACTTTTAGTTAGAAAGATGTGGTAAGTTTCTCTTTCTTCTACTTTAACTATGTCACTCTTTGGAGGCAAATGATTTAAAGAACAAAATAGCTATTTGTAAGATGTTATATAAAACTAGTCAACAATAGAGGAGTGTTTATATAAATTAAAATACTGTGTAATTTCTATTACATATGTATCTGCTTGTATATTCTTCTATCAATCTATTTGGGGGGGGCAGTTTAGTGTAAATTGCAAGCATCTGTGCACCTTCCGTAAGTGTGCGAATATATGCATATTATTATCTAGAGTTCAGTGTTTGTTTACAAAGTTGTGTTTTAATGTAAAATCTGTACAAATCTTATTTGTACATTCACTGAGTTCTTTTTAAGTAATTTTTTTAAGTTTATTTATTTTGAGAGAGAGAAAGAGAGAGAGAGAGAGAAAGAGAGAGAGAGAGAATGTGTGCAAGCAGGGGAGGGGCAGAGAGAGAGGGAGAGAGAATCCCAAGCAGGCTCCTCACTGTCAGCACAGAGCCAGTTGCGGGGCTCGATCTCACAAATTGTGAGATCACGGCCTGAGCTGAAAGCAAGAGTCGGACGCTTAAGTGATTGAACCACCCAGGTGCCCCCATTCACTGAGTTTTGACAAATGTGACAACTCAGACCCTTTTGGAAAGTCATCATAACCTCAGAAAGTTCCTTCATGCCCATTTCCTCAATCCCTGTCCCAGAT